AGCCAGCTCGACTTTCTCGTAGATGAAGACGGCATCTCGGAGCTACTTACTAGATTTACTTCGTTAGTATTTCGGTTCCCAAAAATTTTTATGTCATTAGCTAACACAATTCAGAACTGCACTGTCTCCTGACCGCCTCTCCGAAGATGCCAGCCTCCTTGCTGGTTATACACTAGTACTACTGAGATGTTTTCCAAGTCACAGTGATGATATCAAAATGCGTCTTTTCCAGGGTGATATCTCCACGATTGGCCCCGCTGGTTTTACATCAATGCCGTCTGTCAAGTATTTCTGGAAGGCCGCATCGAATACCGACGTATTCATAAGCATCGCAGGAACTTCAGCCCAACAACATCCTACGTCAGTCGTAACCCTTCTTCAGCCCGATTCTGTTCGTGACCAAGAATGGCGGACCGTCCTGCTATTCCTGGAGCTATATAACTTCCTTTTAAGGGTCACTGATGACGAGGACTTCCTACCAGCAGAAAGTCAGATACTATCAGAGCAGAGCCCGGCGACTTTGCGGATACGTTCAAGCAGCCTCAACCTAGCCGAGTTGAAACCACTCGTCAAATTCCTCAAAAATCTCTCATTCCCCCTCTACTATAACTTATTAGATATCATGCCTTCAGCCTCACGACCCGCTCGTCTCAATAGTCTCATGGGCATCGGATCTAGAAACCCGGGTGTACAAGAGGAAGATGAAAAAGCTCCCCAGTCTTCATTTGCTGGCATCATCGGAATGGACGTACTAAGTTTAAGAAGTGCGTCAACATCTACCATGCGCTCTCTATACGAAAGGGATTCTCGCCGACGCTTTCTTCCGGCGAATTTCTGGCTAATGACCTCCAAGTTCGACATGGATGGCTTCATTTCAGCTGTGGTTCTGGAAGAACAACAAAAAGACCAAATGGCCGAGGGTGATGACGATTCGGACGACTCTGATGCGGAAGTTTTCGATACATTCCATACATACACTGGGCAACGCCTTTCGCGCGCAGCTCAGCTTGAGAAGCGCCGTCGAATGAAAAAGATACAGCGAGAACAACTTTTGGCACAAGTTGGACCCAAACTCGAAATTCTTCGCAATATGCCATTCGTCATACCATTCGAGGTCAGAGTTCGAATCTTCCGCCAATTTGTGTACCTAGACAAGTCCAGGCGCCGGGGCGGCCATGTAGATCCTGACCGATGGCGCTTATCGGTGATATCTAGAGAAGGCATTTTCAACGATGACTCTCCTAGAGGTAGGGACATCATTGGCCGCCATTCAGCCAGAGTCAGACGAGGAAATGTATTTGATGACGCGTACGACCAATTTTATCAACTGGGTGAAAGCCTCAAGGAGCCTATTCAGATAACCTTCGTCGACCAGTTTGATCAGCCCGAAGCCGGCATCGACGGCGGCGGCGTTACGAAGGAGTTTTTGACTAGTATTACCGATGAAGCTTTTACACCCGGCTCGGACGGCCACAATCTGTTCGTTACCAATAGCCAAAACCTACTGTACCCAAACCCGACGGCATTTGACGATCTTGCGGAAAGTCTTCGTCATCAACGATGTCCAGAGAACAGCATTAGATGGAAAGAGAGCATGGCGGCTCTTGCAAGACGTTATGAATTTCTTGGCCGCGTAGTGGGCAAATGCATGTACGAGGGCATACTAATTGACAAGGCTTTTGCCGGCTTCTTTCTCCTGAAATGGTCGGCGTCAGGGCAAGGCTCGTTGAATGATTACCGTGCAAACCTCAACGACCTACGGGACCTAGATCCAGAGCTATACCAAGGCCTCATCAACCTCAAGAACTACCCTGGCAGGGTGGTCGATCTCTCCCTAGATTTTACCATTACAGATCAAGTAACGGGTCCGAATGGGGAGGTTCGCACTATTACTCGACCGCTCTGCAAAAATGGCGAAGACATCCCCGTCACCAACACAAACCGTCCCCTCTACATATCCTACGTTGCGAATCACCGTCTCGTAGCACAACCATTTCGACAGACTCGAGCTTTTCTCAGGGGCCTCGGATCCATCATCAACCCTGCTTGGCTATCCATGTTCAACCAATCAGAACTACAACGCCTTGTCGGTGGTGACAGCTCAGAGATTGATGTCGAAGACCTACGACGTAACACTCAGTACTCAGGCCTATATGCTCTCGGCGACGATGGAATTGAACATCCTACAATACAGATGTTTTGGCAAGTGATGCGTGAATTCCAAGACTCAGAGCGGAGGCAGGTGCTCAAGTATGTCACGTCAACACCGAGAGCACCATTGTTGGGTTTCGCGCAACTCAGCCCCCACTTCAGCATTAGAGACGGCGGCACCGATGAGGAGAGATTACCTAGCACTAGTACGTGCGTCAACCTTCTGAAGCTGCCCCGGTATAGCTCTATAGAGAGGTTAAGAAGCAAACTATTGTACGCCATTCAGGCTGGGGCTGGCTTCGATCTAAGCTAGACGGGGGATACGACGCTGCTGGGCTGGGTACAGCGCAATACCAGAACAGGCCAAGTCTTTCGCTTCGCAGGGACCAAAGGAGGTGAAAGTGAGTGTGTTAACTCAATATACGACACACGACATAATGCTCATGGCTAATATAATGCCATGGACACTCCTTACGTGGAACGACACAAAGGTTTATACTGTCCGCTTTAGAACTTCACGAACCTTAATAAAATAAGTTGCACCCGCATGATATTGGCGTGAATAGCTATCCAATAATCAAGCCTTTAATTTTGCTCACCCTCTGCCTAGCTTACTGGCCATATTTCTTTCTATAGACCGAGTATCTTTCAAAGTCGCCGAGGGACGAGTCAAGATATCACTGCCCAATGAGGCCACTCTCCAAATGCATGTTTGATAGACCATGAACCCCGCTCCTCAGGCTAGGACCACACCTCGAGTCGATGAGAAGGAGTGTGTCTCTTACCTATCTATAAAAGAAGGCTTAGTATAATATAACCTGAGTTAATCACTACTCCTTCAAGATCGATATAATACTATGTAGTTTAAGGGGTTCACTACCATCAAGCGGCTTGTCTGAGACTTAAGACTCGGACGATTATTCCCCTCCTCCTTCTCGTCTGCCCTATCATCCGTGATCTCTCTAATAAGTCGTTTTTTAAAGCAATAGTTAACCCGCGAGTAAGATCTAAAGACCTCAGAAGGATCCATCTCACACCATCATGGCCTCCACACAATCCTACCTCATAGTCGGCGCAGGCTGCTTCGGGGCCTCCACCGCCCGCGCCCTCAAGCAGACACACCCGGACGCCGACGTGGTCCTCCTGGACCCGGCCCCCTTCCCCAACCCCGCCGCCGCCGCCCACGACTACAACAAGATCATCCGCGCCGAGTACGACGACCCCCTGTACATGGCGCTCGCGCTCGAGGCCAAGAACGCCTGGGCCGGCGCGGATCCGGTCGTTGCCCCCTTTTTCCACCAGGTCGGCGCTTTGTGGTCTATCACCGCGGACCGCGCGCGGAGACTTAGGGAGAATTATGAGAAGTTGCTTGGTGCGGGGAAGGCCCCGCTGGAAGTGCTTGGGTTTGAGGATGTGCGGAGGCGGTTCCCGGCTCTGGGGAGCTGCCGGTATGAAGGGGGCGCTGAGAAGTGCATACTCAGCCCGGAGGCAGGGTGGGCTGAGGCCGCGGGTGCGCTGGAAGCTGTTGTGAAGGCTGCTGTTGATGCTGGTGTGAGGTATGAGGTTGGGACGGCGTATAAACTCATGTTTGGTGAGGATGGTTCTTGTGTTGGTCTGGCTACGGAGGAGGGGCAGACGTTTGAGGCGCAGCATACTATCTTGTGTACTGGTGCTTACACGCCGTGGCTTCTCACGGAGAGTGCGCCTACTCGCCCGGAACTCCACGCCGGGGAGAGGATGTTGGCGGCAGCGGTGCTGATGTGCTTGTTTAAGGTCCCGGGTGGTGAGACTGGAATGGATAGATTTAAGGATCACCCCGTTATGGTGCATCCCTTTGGGGATTTCCCGGGTGAGTAGTCGTCCAAAAACTAACGACGGCTAACCTATGTCTCTCCTGGCTGGTAAGGTGTATTCCCGTACTAATCGGGTATCTCAGGTGAATGCATACCCCCTGGAAGCTCTAACGGCCCCGATCTCGCGAAGTGTACCCATGAATTCCCGTACATTCGCAAGGTATACCACAAGGCATCGAAGCAGGAGATCTCAGTGCCACCGCTTTCTCAGGCCGAGCGGATGACGTGGATGCGGGACCTCCCCGACTCACTGACCGCAAACTCCGCGGGCGTCCGAGATATGTTTTTCGGGGATTCGGTGCAGGGCATGACTCCTGAGTTATATCGACTCTGCTGGTGCGTTCCCTTCACTCCTGCTTTACCTATATTGTATTACGAACCATGTTGATCATCATATGTGCAAACAGGGACACAGCCACGCCCGACGAGGACTGGATCATCTCCCCCCATTCTGCGTGGAAGAATCTGTATATTGCGGGCGGCGGCTCGTTTCACGCGTTCAAGTTCTTGCCGATTATTGGGAAGTACGTAGTACAGATGATTCATGGAGAGCTTCCTGAGGAGCATACGCGGCGATGGGCTTGGGATCGAGAGAGTGAGTGTTCTTCTGTTCATGGATTGTTTTCTAAACATTCCCCTTTCTCTCCTGACGTGGTGTGTCTGAGTTGGTGAATACGTGGTGATGAGTATCGATGTGGTGTTATTATTGGGGTTCCTAACTATGAGTTTCTCAGTGGTTCCTATTATTACCCCCTATACACCGCGTGGAGATCTACGAGACATGGCTGGATATCAGGACCAAGAGCAGGGGTGATGGGATGAGTGATGGAATGGCAGAATGCGTTAATTACGATATACCTCTAGTAGCTAGAATCTCGGCCTACTAAGTAAATTTATTTATAATTCAATCGCATATGTAGCCATTAGTATACCGTAGCCCTACGAAAAGGTAGGTTTATAGGAATATTAGATTCGAACAAATATACCAAGCAAACAGCTCCTATAGTCTAGTGGTTAGGACGCCGGATTCTGATTCCGGAAGCATTGGTTCAATTCCAGTTAGGAGCTTTCGACCGTCCTTAAATTTTTGTCTTTCCGAGAGAAAATCTTTTTTGGTGCGATTTGTGGTCCCGACAATGAGGGCATCGTGGGCTAAGTGGAGTTGGCTCATGCTAGCCTTGGGATACGGAGTCGTGAGAGCCCGTCAAATTGTGATCAGACTAGGCTAGAGTGGATATCATTGATAACTCGGCAATTCCAAAATTTAACGTCGTGCAAAATTGTAGTCGAGCTTCGTTCGAATGGGTTGTTAACTCGGTTCGGACTACCGAGTCGTTCACTACCTACCATGATCAGCAATATCATATAAGTTACACTTCACTTCACTATACGTCGGTCTCGTAGGCTTTCATGAATCGAATATCACTTATATATAATGCTCGTAGCTCGTGATAATGTGTAAGTAATCCCAGGTGTCCCCTTTAAAGTGTAGCGGAAGTCAGCAAGACGATCGATAGCTTTCTTTCCTTGATCTGCGCACTTATTCTCCCATTTTAGAAGGGCTATAGAAATGCAAGCAGTAACTACGGCAGCTATACAATTAGCCATCGCGGCTATTATTCTAGGGATATAACTAGGCGTATCCTATCATGTGTTAGATATTATCCTTGAGTGATCTTGAGTATGGGGATTGTACGAACCTGTTGGCGGAAGACTAGAGACGAGTAGATGCCTCCAAGACCGCTCGGAGTGATTAAAACGGCTGTAGCGCAGTATCGCCGCGAAGATTGTTGGCTTGCCGCGCAAGAGTAGTCACTACGAGTCCATCGACACTCACCTCGCCCAAGAAGGTTCCGATGTACAGAGGGACAGGATGCTTGATGATACCCGTCATGCACAGGCCGATGATAATGACGATGCCCTGAACAAATAACAAAAGGCCGACGTAGACGCATCTTATCTGCTAGCTACGAAACAAACATGCCTTCGGCAACTGAGAATAAAGCCGGTGGGGCCAGCACGAACGCGAGTTCTTGCGAGTATCCCATGCCGTTCTTTAGGACGATGGGCAGGAATACTATCCCCAATGTTGAGACTTACTGGTCTAGAATATACTATGAAATAAGACTACTATTACTATAATAATAAACTGAGGGCAAAAATAATCAGCCGCAAGGATATAGACTTCCTTCAACTCACATGTAACTACACGTACTTACATTACATATGTAGTTACAAACTAGAGATACTATAGATACATACATGCATAAGTACTGGAGTGGTTATGTGTTAGGAGATATAACGCTTCAGGCTATACAAAGATATGATTTCTATGTTGGCAAATCGTGTAAGTTGACCAACAGGGAGAAATCCGAAACCAAAGGTGCCAGTTCCTGCTCATAGAGATATAGCATATAAGTCAAGCCGTCTAAAAGCGGTCTGGGCTGCTGCCCTATCATTGTATTATTGAGAAAGCAAGCTGTCTTATTCATTCCTCATTTACGCTGCCAATGAACCGGCTCGAGAATGCGAGCCTGCCTGGTATGTTCACCATGGTAACGAGAAAGAGGCGACTTCCTAATGAATAGCTAATATCTTCGTTAGGTACCCGGATTTTTATTACGTCGTGTTGGTCTTGTTCTCTATATAGGTGGAATATTTAATCAAGACCGTAGAATAATCCAGCAAGTCGAAACGTATACCGGGTCAGATACCTGGGTAGTTTCGCCGGTGAGGAAGAGAAGCAAAGGATAGGAACTTCTTTCTAGACGGTGATTCACATGTCTGAACATTATAGAACTCGTCATTGTATGAAAAGTTTTCGTTGAATGAATTAAATTCCGCGCGACCTATCTGAAGAAGTGATCCACACTGGACAGCAAGTTGCCCTCTTAAAGCAACTCCGAATCGACCCATCTATAGCAAGAGACCACCATTTGCGCGCACTCGTATCTTGTAAAACGTAAATCGAACGTTATTGCAAGCACCTAGCCTTCCACCCATGTCGCCTAATGGAATTCTATGTCTAACCGTAGACGAGCTTGAAGATGTCGTTGTGGACGAAGTACTGGGTCTGGCCGTTGATGGTCTCGGGAACGAGGTAGAAAGTCTGCGAGTAGCTCATCGGTCGCTGCTCCTCATCCACCTATTTTATACAAATTAGAATGCATGCCGTCGGTACACGTTAGGTGGAATTGTCAATAGACTAACCAAAAGCTGGCCGGTCACGAGGACCATGATGTGATTCTCGCCGACACCAGGCTGGGGATCCATGGTCGCAACTTGGTGCTTAATCTCCTGGAACGGGAGGGTCTAAGAGTTTGTATTAGATTTTGTTTGCGCGATGCTTTGGTAACAGTGGGAAATTACCTGGAGCTTCTCGATGATGTTGGACGTGCCCTTGAAGGAGGCCGACTCGAAGGTCAACATGGAGCTCTCACGCTGCAAAAAAATCAGTTGCCATTTCTCTGTGATAATTACAGTGCGATACACATACGTAGAGAGTAGCCAGGCCCGATCGATTCTGGTCGAATTGGTTGTAGTAGTACTGGACGAACATCGCTACGGAGATGGGCGCATGTTAGCTTGGATCTCGGATCGGTGCCCATATCGACGGGACAGGAAGAATTTGCTATAAGATATCCCGAGGGAATACATACCCGCAACCTCCTGTAGGTCTGCTCATCATGTTAGCAAAATGGACTGGCATGGTAGCCTTGGCTAGTTGGGCAGTAAAATGCGACGCGTCACAGAGGGGGAACTCACTAGACATGATGATTGGGGTATTGCTCGTCGAGCGGTCGTGAGGAAGTATTAGTTGTTGAAAGATGTTATCGACGAAATGTTGAGACGGTCAGGTTTGTCGCGCAGTCGGCTGGGCAAGAGAATGCTTTCCGCGGGGACGACAAAGGTTTTGTTATTGTCTCGGTGGTGGTTATAGGATGGGAGTGAAAGAGTGAGGCCATTCACTTTTGGAGGGGCATTCGAAAGGCCTTCTCCACTATTTATGCGAGCTAAATTTGTTTTTGGATGTCTTACGCTGGCGGGGTAATCTTAATTTTTTTCACTGTACTATGTACTATGTAACCCAGAACTTAAAGTACACAGGTTAGGTTTGATCTTGCCCACTATGTACAGTAGGTGCCTACCAGGCAGCGATTCCGTCAGGCTACCGATTGGGTAATAAATACTGTGTCTCAGGTCGAAGTTGCCTTTTTCTATTCTCCCTTTCATATAATATCGAATGTATCGACACGGTGGGGATAGTCACTGCACTATTAGGCGGTTCGAAGCACGACTTAAGAAATGCAACTACACCTAAGTACCTACATCTTACGGCAACTACCTCGATAGGTACCTAGTAATGCGGGTCGTTCTTTTCGGTTACCCTGTGACGTCGATCGGTCTTAACCTTTATAGCTCCTGGCTTGGAAACAACACTACCTATTATCAAATGGGGTCAAGCTCAGAGTCTTTAATATTAAAGCCATGATACACTCACGAACCCCGTCGTAGAATGACACATCATCATTAGCTTTTCTGTCGCACTGCACATTATCTCCATACGTGAAACTATGAATCAGTATCCCTGTTCCTTTCGGCCTAATACCTTGAGCCCAACAATTCAACTCGGTCTAGATTATCATTGATATTATAACTCCTTATGCACCGGGCAGGGCTGAAGGTCTAACCTATCATATATGAACTAGGAATGGCGCCTAATCAAGGGGGGACCGACAGCACTGTCTCGGTGGAGAACAGTCAACATGGCAATCACCATGGTGCCTCCGTCGGTGCTGGTTTCTCCTGCCTCCTGCATCGTCACAACTCCAGCACGAGACAACATGCTCGGGACTCGTCCATGGACTCTCTAGACAGGATCTTCAATACTCGTACCGAGTCAAACACTCCTCGTCTGCCAACCTACCAGAGGCCCATGACGTTAGAGGATAAACATTATGCTAACAATTCTTATGGAATTACCGAGTTGAGAGACGGTTTCTTTGATGCCATCTTCCTCCCACCTGAAGATGTGGACTCGGAAGACCTTAAGAAGCGGGCTGAGATGACTCTTCCCTACGCCTTCCGGAAGAAGAATCCCCTGTCTGTTCGTAACTTTTTCCCCAAGCAGTGGCACGAAATCAAGGGTGTAATTCGCCGCACTACTACTACGAGGGCTGGTATCAGACTGCTCAAATCTTTCCTTGCTTTCTTCATAGCATATATCCTTTGCCTTGTACCCGCTGTCCGGGATAGGCTTGGCCGTTATAATTATGTCATGGTAATTTCAACCATACTGAACCACTCTGGCAGAACTCTGGGAGCCCAGGTCGACGGGGCCATCCTAACGATACTAGGCACAGCTACTGGGTTAGGCTGGGGCGCCTTTGGCTTGTGGGTATCTACTGCCACGGCGTCGGCACGTATTGGATATGGCGGCGTCCTTGCTGTCTTTCTATTCATATACATCTTTATCATTGCTTGTCTGCGTTCGTATTATATCCGCACCTACCAAGCCGTCATCTGTGCCGGGATTGCAATATCGTACACCTGTTTAGCTGATGTATCGGGAACCGAGGTTTCCTGGTCCAAACTCCTCGATTACGGCATTCCTTGGGTTTTGGGCCAGGCCATCGCCTTACTCGTCTGTTGCGCGGTGGTCCCAGACGCCGGTGCTCGCCCGTTAGCCGTAGCTCTTCATCAAGCTTTCGCTGTCATGCTGGTAACTCTTTTCTTTACCTTTCATGCTTCCCTCGCTAACTCATTTTCAGGACGGTCTTGGTTTAACACGAGTGGAGAGCGTGGTAACACGCCGAAAACTCACACAAACATTTGTTACCATGTCTCAAGCGTATAGAGATCTAGTGATCGATTTTTCTATAACGCTTTTCGATCCAAAGGACGTATTAGACCTCCGAAACCTCATCCAAGGTGTTATCCGTGCGCTACTAAGTTTAAACAGCGAAACGGGGATCCTCAGTCCGGCAGAGGACGAGTCATGCGATTCGCCCAGCCGGGACCGAACCGTACTTGATGAATTCATATTGAATATGGACGAGAAGCCTCGC